AAACACAAATTAAAGCAACAAAAACAAGAACAACAACAACAACACACTCACACACACACACTTAGAAAATCAATGAGTGAGGCATACGCCGAGTGGTGGCTCCGCTTTTGGCCCTAGCCACATGCAGCCAAGTGTTCATAATGCCATTACAAACAATTTTCAAAGCAAAAGCGAGACGAGAGCAAAATAAAGCAAAATAACAACAAAAAGGCGAGCATAAAAAAATGTGAACTTAACTACGCGCTGATTACATAACTATAAATAGCTTACACAGAGAGCGAGAGAGAAAGAGAGATGAGAGAGGGAGAGTGTGTATGTGTATGTGTGGGCGTGGCCGACTGCCTTTTTTGTATAATTTTTAGCCTGGTATTTCAATAGCTCGCATAGCGCTTTTAGCTAAAGGTATGCTCCCAAAGGCTCAGCCAGCGAGAGGGTGAGATAGTAGCTGGAGCAGCCTGGCTGGCTTGTCCTTAAAGTTCAGCCAGTCACGTAAAATTTATAACCCAGTTGAGTTCCTCGAAATCTGCCCCAAAAATATTGTGAAATTTATGTGGGCAAAAAAAAAAAAAAACAAAAACAGAAGAGTAGAAAATAGAAAATGAAAATGAAAAACATAAACTTGTCAGTCACACGTCGAGCACATAAATTAGCCAAGGCCCAAAGCCGGCGGTCAGAGCTTGTCATTTAGCCAGAGGTACCTCTTCCCCTCACCCTCTCTCTCGCTCTTTGTCATGTAATCCGAGCTCATAAAGTTCAATAAACTTGAGAGCAGCTTAGGCTCTGGACTCGGGGCTCTGGCCCTTGCATAATAACTCGAAGCTGTCTAAAAATTCATGCAGGAAGCGCACTAATTTATGGCCAGTGCTAGTCTTAGCTGACCTTTAGCCTGTCGACTGTGAATTGTGGAGGATATAAATAAAATGCGTGTGTCGTGTGCGAGTGTGTGTGTGTGTGAGTGTGGGCGTGGCTTGTCGCAATTCAAATTAAATTGAGCATGCGGCTGATATGAAACGGTCAAGCAGCTGAGATGCTCCTTTTTATTCCTTCTCGGGCATATTCTAAAATGCGCTCATGTGTGCAAATTAGAAGCTGTACCCACACACACACACACACACAGAGTTGGGTCCTATGTGGCCTCTGTGTGTGTGTTGGTTATTTTGAATAAATTAAATTTGCCTGCAGCCTGGAACATATAATAAGCACTTGCACAGCACATTCGGACGGCCTGCCTATGTGGTTCGGCCTTTTCGGGTGGTGCACGCTCCAATAATTCCATGACAATGACACCACAGCTAATTAGGCGTTTTAAATGTCAAGCCAGATAACGAAGACAAAACAACAAAAAGAGAAAAAACCAAAAGCTTGGGTCCAACATATGCTGTAACCCAAAAGTACAAAACAAAACCCAAATAAACAGCCGAGAATGATGCGATCGAGTGCAACTGACTGCGCGATACCCGCTCCTATATTCTATGTTCTATGTTCTATGTTCTATGTTTTATGTTCTATATTCTATATTCTATATTCTATATTCTATATTCTATATTCTATATTCTATATTCTATATTCTATATTCTATATTCTATATTCTATATTCTATATTCTATATTCTATATTCTATATTCTATATTCTATATTCTATATTCTATATTCTATATTCTATATTCTATATTCTATATTCTATATTCTATATTCTATATTCTATATTCTATATTCTATATTCTATATTCTATATTCTATATTCTATATTCTATATTCTATATTCTATATTCTATATTCTATATTCCATATTCTATCTTCTGTATTCCATATTCTATATTCTATATTCTATATTCTATATTCTATATTCTATATTCTATATTCTATATTCTATATTCTATATTCTATATTCTATATTCTATATTCTATATTCTATATTCTATATTCTACATTCCACATTCTATATTCTATATTCTATATTCTATATTCTATATTCTATATTCTATATTCTATATTCTATATTCTATATTCTATATTCTATATTCTACATTCCACATTCTATATTCTATATTCTATATTCTATATTCTATATTCTATATTCTATATTCTATATCCTATATTCTATATTATACTCCAAATTACAAATCTCTGGCTTTACTGCCATACAGAGAATCATAAAATCTAATACACTCACTGCTTGCTTTATTGAGCGTGTATCGACAGTGAGAAGAGAAGCTGCTACACGCAATATGGTCAAAAACAGCTCAATATGGTCAAAAAAAAAAAAAAAAAGAGCGTATACAAAAGCTGGCCATTAATTATGCATATGTATGTGTGTTAACATATGGAACGACACACATACACAGAGTGGGAGACTCAGAGCTCTGCAGATGTGTGTGTGTGTGTGTGGGTGTCGAGTAAATCGAAGCGCTGGACATTTAATGCGCTTAATTAAATAAACAAATGGCAGCGAGTTTTTGGCCAAAAGTCGCATTAAAAGTTCATGGCAAAAAGCAGCGGCTAAGACGCATGTAAAGCCAGAGCTAATTAGACCTAAGGACATGCATGTAAACAGCCGAGGCTTCCTTCCGCCCAGGCGAAAACAAAGCCCAAAGTGGACTTACTCCGTATTTTATTAATGAAGTTGAAGTGCGCGAGCCGTTGCCTAATCGAATATTTAATTATTTTAATACAATCGCAAATGAGCTTGAAGATGGTGCCCGGGAAAAGGGAAAACAAACAGCATGAATTGCCAAAATGTAAAAGGCAAAATGGGCATAGGGAAAGGTCAAGCCCAGTCACAGGCTGAGCCCCCGAAACGACCTCAAATACAAGATTGAGAACAAGAACTAAATTTCTTAAGTGTTTTCATGTGCCAAGTCAAGTCAGTGCCCCAATCCACTCACTCTGCATAGGCAGAGCCCGAAGAACCCTTTCGTCTTACTTTTGCTTTATTACACTCGAATCATTTTCAAGAGTCAACTGGGCAGCGAGCGAATGGGTGAATGGTCGAATGGGCGAAAGGGGTTGCTAAAACAATTTGGAAAATTTATTTTCATTAATTTTAATTCGCTGCAAAAGTTTGGCTTATGTACGAGCCAGAGAGAGAGAGAGAGACAGAGTCAAACAGACAGAGAGTGGCTGGCCAAGGGGTGGGAGGGAGGTAGCAGGCTCTACGACTGGGCAGGCCTGGTACAAATAATTACTTTTTCAGATTTTGGCCTAACTCGTCCCTTTTTAATTATTTGCTAAAGGCTCTGTCGCTAACTTTCCAAGCAGCAGCAGCAGCAGCAGCACTCGCCTAGCCAGGCGAGCATAATTAATTTATTTCCATTTTGTTTCGCTTTTCTTTCTTTTTTTATACATTTGATTTGTTTATTTTATTTGCGTAGAACATTTGCCAATAATTAATTGAAACACTCGACGTTCACATTTAATTAAAGGCGCGTACGCTGCTCATTTTGCCCAGCAGAAAAACAAAATAAAAACGGATTACCAGACATTTCGATGACAGGGCTAAAAACAGCTGGCGAACGATGATGAGCCAAAGGGTTTCTCCTGCTGCTCGCTCATCATCATGAAGATGAAGGCTTCATTTAGACGCTCGCTGACTTTGTCAGCATTGATTGCACTCGAGGGCCCCCAGCGACCAAACAGGATTCTGATTCCGATTCAGATTCCTCCGATTCCTGCTCCTGATTCAGATACATATTCTGTTTCGCATTCAGATTTTTAGTCCGTTGTGTCAATAGCATCTGATCTGTCGCTGATGCTAGAGATTGCTGCTCCTTCTCCTCCTGCTGCTGCTGCTGCTGACTCAGCAGGCAGCAATCAGCGAGCTGCTTCTGCATCATCTCAGCCCTAAGCTTAGTTCAATGTCAATTCATGTGTATTCCTGTGTGTGTGTGTGTGTGTGTGTGTGTGTGTCTGTCTGCGTGTTTCATTTGTTTGTTTGTTTTGCATGCAAAAGGCACTGGCGCTGGCACTGGCAGAGCCACTGGCGCATTCAGCAGACACAACAAACAGACAACAAGCAAACGGAGCACTTTTCTGATACCCTTTGAAGCTGAGCAAAAAGTTTATTGAACTGCCATTAAATGCATAACTGGCTGTATGCCACGTGTAAATAATGAATCTTGAATTTGAGAGAGTTTTCAGAAATGCCTCGCTATGAATTGTTTGAAAAGTTTGGGATTAATTCTAACATCAAATCATATTTTTTATATGAAAAACCTTGTTTGGGATAATTAAAGAATTTGTGACTTTTTATCCATATGCCAGTTTATTTATTTATTTTCATATATATCTCATAATGACGAAAGCCCCAATAGTTTTAATTATACTCATTCACGAAATCGAACAGAGTATATTGTTTTTTTTTATATTAACTCTAATGTCAAATAAATAATCAAATATAATTTTGATTGGTCGTCTTCTTATATATCTTTTATCCAATCTGTCAGTCAATTGTAATCGCCAATCTGCCTCATCGACTATTTAATATTTATTCATCTGCATATTTATACGTGTATATATGCATCTATATATGTACTTATATACATCTACCTGTTTAAGAATCTATCATCTATCATCCATCTATATAGAAACATATCCTCATATCCACATATCGTTATATTCATATATTCACCTATCCGTATATCTATTTATTCATCCTCCATATTTTCACATTTCTTTTTATCCATCTATATATCCTTCAATGTATTGACAATCATCCCTCTCTCTTCCCTTCTCTGTATTAATTCTTTAAATCCATCTATTTGTCTCTTCATTTTACTCTAATCACCCAAATGGATTATTATTAATCCCCATCTTTATTCCGGTACTTAAATAATGCCAGAGTATCTATTGGCCGTTAATACTTTGCAATTTCCTGAATCCCCTGAACTGTGACTCAACTCAACTGTGTGTGTCTCTCAGTTGGTAGTATTTATTTGAGTTATTTCCTAGCATACTAATTTCCATCTCTCTCTCTCTCTCCCTCTCTCTCTTCTCTATTGCAGCTCAGTTCCTGGCTATAATAGACAGCAGCTTGTCTGTGTATGTCATATGGTAAGTTGAACATATGCATAGCTATATCCATATATATAGTCGCTTATCTGACTCGATTAGACGCGAAGGTGTGGCCGCGCCCAAATGGCGCTGAATATGCGCTAAATCATGATTGACAATGCCAGATAGCTGTGTTAATTGTATCTGTTGGCGGTTTTAGTGGGACAAATCGTTTGCCACATTGCGCATACGCCAGGTGGTGCGCGCGTGCTCCACGCTCATTTGCAGCATGTGAGTGTATGAGTGTCAGTGTATGTGTGTGTGTGTGTGCTTGCGTGTGTTTGTCTGTCATTAGCTCTGGCATTTAGCAATTAATTGCAATACCTTTGGTTAATGAACTAGTTGAGCCAAGCAGCCAGCAAACTAAGCACGCTGTCAGGTCACGACTCGGCCACGGCCTCACGATAAAAAACAATATCAAAAGCAGCAAACAGCAACAGCAACCGAAAGAGCGTGAGAGCGAAAGAGAGAAAGAGAGAGAGAAAGAAAAAAAGGACAATTTGCAAAAGTGACGTCAAAACAATTACGTGCAGAATAACGCTTGATAATAAAATGAAGTGAGGCTTTACCCCTCTCTTTCTCCCACTCTCCCTCTCTCTCTTAGACCATCTCTCTCCCACTCTACCTGTTTAGCTGCTGTGCTATGGCGTCAACTGCTGAAACGTGCTCAAGTGTTGACTTTTATAAATTGTGCAGTCGTTTTTCTTGGCCTCTGACCTGGCTGCAACAACACCTGCTCAACTGCCCACCTGCTTACCTGCCCGCATGTGCTGCTGCTGTTGCTGCTCAACTTGGCCAGCAATTAATTACACACACAATGACTGACAGCCGTCTCGCAGTCTGTCCATTTGGCAGTCCATCGGCTTTAAAGGCGCACACAACATTTAATCGCCCGGGCGGGCCAAGTCGCTCGTCGGCCTGATCTCTCAATAAGCCACGTTATCCGTGCCACAGATTTATATTTGTGTGCCACGCTTCACTGGCCACGAAAGACACTCAACTGGAGCGGGCCCTCGCTTTTGGTTTCTCGTTGGCTTCGCTGGCTTTTTAGTTTATCTCGAGCGTTTAAATAATTTCAGGCTTTTCCTTTTTCCCTTCTCTGCCATTCTTCTTCGCCTTCTCCTTCCTCTTCTCTTCTCCTTTATTTTTTTTATTTTTTGACGCCCTACGCTTTTGCGGTTTTGTGCAGCCTTTGCCGCAATTAATGCCAACAGATTAATTATACGCATCGCTGCATAATTTGTTGTCTGCTTTTAAATTTATTTTTATTTCTATTTTTATTTTTATGTACTCTTCCGCCTCCACTCACGCAATACGTGAGCCAATGCAGCAAACCACACAACAAAACATTTTAGATGACGGGACAATGAGCAGGGGAAACGGGAGAGAAAGAGAGAGAGGGAGGAGATTGCAGAGCCAGGGTAATACCCTGTGTGCGAATGCTACGTGTATCGATTAACTGAGTTTACATCGCAATATTAAGCGACATATCGATATTGGTCGATATATTGAAATAGCACAATAATTTACAAATTTTCATATATGATTAGATCATAGCTATCGGAATAACCAAATAATCTATCGGAATTGGGAATCCAATATTTATCGATTAAAGTACATCGCAATTACCTTCAAGAGAATTATAATCAAAGAATAATCTATGTGAGTTGGAAATTTTATAATCATCGATTTTAGTGAATGGCATTTATCTTTACTAAAGTATGTCATTGTCATTAATTCGATAGGCACAGCATATCATAGCATTGATATGAATCGATTGATATATATCGATATTTGGCGAAGAGATATACATTATTATTACATACATATTTGCCCATTTTTCATCTAGTACTCATTATTTATCGCACTGTTATTGACATATATATATTTTGATAAACTTCGATATATATCAATGAGCATTGATCATATCAATATGGTTCGATATGTGTTCATATACTTTGATATTTATCAATCTATATCGATATATATCAATAAATTTTGATATTTATCAATCTTCAATATTTATTAATATACTTCGATATTATAAGCTTCAATATTTATCAGTATACTTCGATATGTATCAATATAATTCACTGTTTACAAATACACTCCAATGCTTATCGATGATTTATAGCAATTACATTTACCCATCCTTGATATACCCTTGCTGGGACACTTTTTAATGGCCACAGGGTATTTGGACAGCAAACGCAGCAGCCGCATAGAACAAAACAAAAAAAAAAAAAAAAAAAAAAAAAGTTAAAAGGGACAATATCGCCTGGCTCTAATGAGTGGACATTAGCTTGAGTTTGGCATTAAGCAAACGGCGGTCATAGGACCCCAATTTGTCGGGATAATCAAGCTGCCAACAGTCTCTATACAGTTTTATTATTATTATTATTTTTTCGTCTCTCTCGTCTTGTTGTTGTTGAATAACAAATTTAATAAGTTTTGGCTTGAGCCAGGCTTGAGCAGGAGGCGTGGGCGCTGGGCGCTGGGCATATTTTAAGTGAGTGCAATTTGGTATTGATAGCCAGGCTGATAAGGCAATTGGCTGAGGTCTCAGCTTGACTGGCGCTGAGGCAGTCAGGCAGCGACAGCTGTCGCTGACCTATTATTTATATGACTTTGTTTAGTTTTGGGCAGCAACTTTTTTTTTTTTTTTTTTTTTTTTTTTTGTTGGCTGTTGCGCTGCCATAAATCTTGTAGTGCCGCCTGTATTAATGTGTCAACGGCAGCCAGTCAGACCAAGAGCAAGACCAAGGCAAACAAAAAGTAAAGGCGACTTCAATCAAGTGCAGAGGCGGAAGCACTGAGAGGCCAGAGGTTTGGGCACTTCACACAAGTCGCATATGTGCCTGAGGCGTTCGCCCTGAAGGTGTTAAGGTATTAAGAGCTGGGGTTAAGATTACCAATGACATTCATGTTGATTTATGCGTGTGTGTTTGTGTGTGTGTGTTTGTGTGGGGCGCACATTGCGTATGATTTATGCATGTATTTATGAAAACAAATAAATATAGATGCTCTGGCAAGCTGTGTGTGCGTGTGTGAGTGTGTGTGTGTATGTGTCATTAGAGCGCACAGCCAGAACCCATTAATTGCATATTAAAATGTATTAAGGATACATTACAAGGACACTAACTGACATCACTGACAGACGATAGCCCACAAAAATGCCATAAACAGTTTCCTCTATTACCGGCAAGTAGAGAAAACAAAAAATACAACAACAACAACAACAATCACTACAGCAAGCAAACATTGTGTGCAGCTGTCGTCGCGCTGCTGCTGCTGCTGCTGCCGCTGCTTAGCCCAGGCGACAATTTGTGCCCAAGAGTATTTGCTTACCCATATTAAGCAATAAAAGAGCTTTGTAAAAACCATAAAACGGAAGTACCAAGCTGAGCTAGAAAGAGTGAGCGAGAGAGAGCGAGAGTGTACGCAAAGGTCTGCTAAGCTAAGGTAAGAGTTGAGAGCTAAGGCATGAGGCATGAGCTGAGGCCAGACTGAAGCTGCGGCAGAGTATGAGCGGTAGCTAGGGCATGGCCTGGGAGGGAATGGCTGATGCTAGAGGAGGAGCTAATGCTGGGGAATAAGCACAGGTTGAGGCTGAGGCTGAAGCTAAGACTGAGACTGAGGCTCCTGGTACAGGAGTAGAGGATGAGGTTGATGCTGAGGCTGAGGCTGTAGCAGGAGTTAGGGCTGAGAGCGTAGCGAGAGACTGAGACGGTAGCCAGAGTTGAGGCTGAGACTAAGGCTAAGGCTAGGGCTGTAGCAGGAGTTGATGCTGAGAGCGTAGAGAGAGACTGGGACGGTAGCCAGAGTTGAGGCTGAGCTACAGGCTGAGACTGAGGCTATAGAAGGAGCTGAGGCTGAGACTAAGGCTAAGGCTAGGGCTGTAGCAGGAGTTGAGGCTGAGGCTGTAGCAGGAGGAGCTGAAGCTTCGACTGCAACTAAGACGGTGGATGAGGCGGTGGGCGTGGCGAAGACAAGCAACTCTGCGGCAAAGACTAGGCCAGAAGGTCTTGAGACTATGGCGTTATAAGTATTATAAAAGGCAATTTGCAAATATCATATAACAGCCAGACGGCGGCCTAGCACAAAGTGTACACACGCACACACACACACCAAGGCACTTAGAGAAAAGACAAACAAACAAAATAAAGCAAGATTTTTCGTGTAACTGCTGGTAGCAACCGCAGCAGCTCGAGTCGAGTCAAGCTGTTGCCACGCCTACGCCTAAAGAGAAGGGCCTGACACACACACCCGCACACACACACTCACACCTTCAATTGCATATGGCAAGCGACACTGTTAATTGTGTCAGAATTAAAAAGATTTAACAGCAAAATCTGCTGCTAGGCTGTGAGTTACCCCTGTCCCTCTTCCCCTCCCTCACTCTATCTCTCTCTCTCTCTCTCTCATAGCTAATTAAAGCAGTTGCTCCTTTGTTTGCCACACTTTTTGATGAGCAACTTAAGGAGATCTCAGCGTTTGCCTAGCTTTCCACTCTTTCGCTCCCTTTGCACTCGCTGCCCGTCTCCCCCTCATCTATATCTTGTCTGCAGGTAATTAACATTTTTATGTACTTTTTTTGTGTGTCGTGCCGCCCGGGCTGCCACATAATTAAAACGTTGATTTATGCCATGGATAATAAATTCAACAATGCCACGCCCACGCGCTACCAGCACCTCCTCCTGCAAGGTCGCACTGGCTGGCAACATTATTTTTTTTTATTCACGCGCCGCAAGTGCCTGTTGTATTTATTTTATCGCCATTTCGATAACGATGCTTAAAAGCATTTTTAATAAACCAATTTCTTGTGCTCTCACACTCACACACTCACACACACACACTCACTCACACCTTTTATTTGCAACACTGATTAAATTTGCGCGGCAGGAAAATAAAAATAATGTACATCGGATAAGCGGCGACGATTAAATGTCCTTGCTGAAATATGTCACTCTCTGTCTGTCTCTCTCTCTCTCTCTCCCTCT